AATTCTACACGTGCTGGACGTCACCGCGAGGCGAAATCAACGGAGAAGACACGCTGACGACGACGACGACGATGACAAATTTCGCTTGTGACTTTTGCCACCGCGTCGTCATGTGACATAGCGTGCAACATGCGTCGATAAATATATAATTCACACAATGACGCATCGGAAGCAATAGTTGGGCGGGTACAAAAGCAATATATATAATTCGCTTGCACAACTAGTGCTTTTTACTTTTCGACCGACGTTTCACCTCATAACATCACGGGTCAAGGATCGAGCAATTGATTTCCTCTGAGCTGCCAACAGTGACGTCGAGCGATATATTTCTTTAACTTGTTTATGACTGTCACGACAATTAATGAATTAACTGTAATTTGTGTAGGACGCGAGCAATTATCCGCAACAAAACTAATTGCTTATTGTTTTCTTTTTGAAATTTGTGAGAGTAATTTTTTAAATAGAATTCTAAACACACGCATATCAAGTTGTCGACATTTTTCAGTAGATTTTGAAATAGATTACAAAATTACAAAAGCTTTATTAAGATTACGGAATAATTGAACAAGTAAATTTGCCGATCTCTACTGAAGCGTTCATCATATTGTAAGTATTGCAATCTTGTAGACTGCCTAATTCGCTATTATAACGCGGTAATAGTTAAATGGGGCAATGGTTTGCGGTTTAATTGGGTAACGGGTTAAGCACACACAGGTGCAATTTACCACGAGCTAAGTGAACCGTAACGAAGGTGGCCCCATCGAATGAAGTGCTTCGAAGCTCGATTGACGCGCGACGAGAGCGGACGTGTCGTTAACAAAGTAATTTTTCAAACGAGCAAGCATTATTCCTGAGTTGAACCGATGAGCAAGAATGGTTTATCGAACGTGCACGTCGACAAAACAACTCTCGTTTCCTCACGTGTATATATATAATGTACATGTATAACCTTATAATCGTTTTGTATTTATGCGCGTTTATACATTGATATGTACGCGTATATATGTCAAACGGAGAGAGAGAGAGAGAGAGAGAGAGAGGCAGAAATTATTTCCCATATCCAACATCGCAAATGAGATAATTTCCCGAGCGTGATGTAAAATATAATTATTCTTATAATTAATGCGCTTCTAACTTTCTTTTCTGCTTCACAATTCTAATTATTCCGAGAAAACACAAATGCATGCCGTTCTTTTCCATCCACTTATTGTTAGTCGAAGATCAATATTTTATTCGCCTCGTGACGTGTGAGGCTATTGCTCCTGCCGGACTCGTAAAAACCCTATCTGCAGACGTGGACGTTGCGATGACGTTGTCTTGTACTTTGAAACGTGGAAAAGTAATATGCGTTTGCTCTCTTTCTCTCTCTTTGGATACGCGGAGAAAACTTACGGTTCTCTCGGGTATACATTCGTAAAAATTGATGATTTCACGGAAGGCTACGAAATTGATGGAAGATCCTGGGAATACAGCTGGTTACGCTTTGAAATAACGTTAACCTGTTTTAATATCACAAACAAAAGTTGTGTGACATGTCATGGAAACCATCCTCATGAGAAAAGAGGAAAGTTAAATAAGAAAGACCCCAAGTGCGTTTTGTGGAAACAGCTGTGCGGAATCTTTCTTCTTCTTCTTGTTATATTCCTTTTTTTACAAAACGAGAAACTGTTCTTTCTTCACCTTATACTGCGCAATAATTTCTCTTTCACGTAGATGTTACACTGACGTAAAAATTAACTGCAAAATCGACTCACTGTTGAAAAACTTATTTGAATTATAATTTGAAATGAGAAAGATTTTTTAAATTAGCTGGATGTCGAAGATAATTTTGTAATTTAAAATCTACTACTTATTTTTTTCACTTCGAGATATTTTTTATATTCTATGTGTTTTTCAACTTATTAACATTTCGTCGATCGGAGCTGAAGATTCGCGGAGAGCAGGAAAAGCATAAGAAAATTACGAGTCGCGTTGCACGTACGACGACGGAACCGTAAAACGTCAGTAGTAAAGCTCGAGCATTTACGAACGCGGATTGAAATCAGACTTTTCCCTAACGTGGAAAACTTTCCCGATCAAACTAGTGACTAGTTTTGTTGAAAAATAAATGGCAATGAAATTAAAATTGGCTCTAAGTAAGAAGTAAAATATATGTGTTTATAATAATAAACGCCGTAATAGTGAAGATATGAAATAATTAAAAAAGTGACATTGCAGATTGCGATGTCGCTTGCAGAATCACGAAAAAACCGCTGAGATCGAGTAAGATCTTATATAAAAGCCGTTCTCTTGTTCGCAACGTAATAACGAAATATATAACAAATAGTATGTTGTTTCCGACTTTGGCAAACCTCCAGCTTGTTGCCGACACGTCGTCGAGGGCTATAAAAGGGACAAGCTCGGAGAAAATTTCTTCGAAATGACATTGAAAACTGGTAAGTTGTATTAAAGCGATAATTTAAATCGACTACGCACGTGATAGAGAAAATTTAAATTTGCAGAGATTGAATTTTATATTTTAGAGTTTTCGCTACTTAAACGAATACGCCGTTATATGTCAAATAATGTAACATACGATCGAATCGACTTTCTGTTATTCAAAAGAACGTATTAATCTGTCACAAGTGCCACTTTTTGCTTCCTTATAACCAGAAGTGGCACTGCCTCCGACGGTTTATTATTAATCCGATGAGACATGAGCGTGAAAATATATACCTACGTAGCCGACTACTGTCGGTAGATTTATCACGTTAGGCCGACGGGACAAAGACGAATGTTCTGTAATAATTAATGATTGTTACTGTCTTCGCATCAGCAAAAATGTACGTGTGGAAAGAATTGTTATTTTGATCGTGTTGTTGCGATATATCGCGTGTGATCAACAAAATAATCAAATTTCAATGAAAGAGTACATCGAATAGTAAATTATTTTTGTTTACAGTAGCGTTACACGATGCGTTTTCTATTATCTCGATCGTGTGGTTAAAGCGTTCCATCAAAAATAGAAAATTAAAATTGTCGACAAAAGCTTGCATGTCAGACAATGCGTGTTTATATCGCGCAATCATTTTCGTTTAATTGGATCCGTGGCAGGTCAAGCGTGAAAACTTGAAATTGCGAGATTATCTTCAAAATCCTAGTCGGGGTGACTTAAATCCTATAAAAAATCTCTCTCATTTCCATTATAATTCGAGTAATTCTTTACCGTCGCATCGGTTATCTGTAAATTGATTAGCAAAGTCCGCGCTCCAAAGTCGACTTTAAGTGATGCGTAAAGCCGATTAAGGCGCAACATAGGAAACTTGTTAATCTCGTTTGAAAATTGTAGATAGTGGGGCCAGTATTGCTGAATTATGAGAATAGAAGGGCAAAATTGCAAACGACCGTAACCACAGTTCGCGCTTTCGTTCCCTCCCTCCCTTCTCAGACTTCACAAGCGCGCAACCGTTCAAATTATTTCCTCGTTCTAGGGAAATTACTATCGTGCACTTTTTGCCGTGGTTCTTTGCATCTTCCTGGCCGACGTTATCCGACAGCGACCGGCACGGCCCTTCCGGTAATTTGCTTTTTCCCTCCTGGTTTGCTTGGGCTCCTTTCTGTGCAATGCCGTGGCCCCGCTACTCTTCTTCTTCTTCTTCCTTGAAAATTTAATCGCGGAGCCGCGACGTCGCCTTTAATGCGATTCTTCGCCTGCGTTCCTTCTTTTACCTCGCCTCGTTTTACCGAAGTTTTATTTCATGCCGCCGACATCCGCCGACGCGAGACTTTCTAAAAGAGCCATCCGCGTCCGTTGCGGTTAATAACGGCAACTTTTTTCACAGAGAGCACTCTCTCTCTTTCTCTCTTTCTCTCATATGGCGCGGAGAAAACACCGGTGTTTCGGAATTATAGCGTCGCTTAATATCGTCGGCGCGCACCACCGAAAAGCTGGAATAAATCGGTTTTCGATATTAACGAATGCCATTCCGAGATTGGTTTAGAGCGGAATTAAATACGTTCGCCTCTGGTTTGGAACGGAATCACGTTCTAAATTTTGCAACCGTAAGCTGGATACCGAGAGAGAACCAATTTCGACTCTTACATTCAATTTCGTCTTACTTCAACTCTCTTTGTTCAAATACGTTAACGTTTTAAGAACGCTCGCGACGAGCAAAGCGTGTAATATGCTACTATCCAAGCGAACCATTCGTGAAATTACGAGATATATTACAAGATTCTGCATTGTAAGTTTTCTCAAGTATCTCATCTTTTTCGCAATATATGACGACAAGCATAATGCTTGTCCTACAATAAACTCCGAGCATTATCAAGCCTTATCATAAACTTCAACGGAATTTATAAAATAACGTAGTTTTCTTTTTCTTTCTCCAATTTACGTACATATTTTAATAGAAATGTTTATGTGAACAAATTCTTTTACACAAATAACGTGTCAATGTTAATTTTCTTTATTTTTGAAAAAGAAAATATTTACGACGTATGATCTAAACAATCTCAAATTTCTATGTCCTCATGTATTTCACTTAACATTTAACTGTATTTCCAATATGCACCGACGAAATCAACAACTCGAATTAATGTCTGCCCGTTTCACATTGAATCAAATTACTTAGTCGTCGGTAGTACATAGGGTCGTAATTGCGAAGGAAACTTCTCAAAAGATGCTTAAGTTCGGCGCAAAACTTTCTTAGGCTCGTTCTCAAATTTACATTTTCCACCTTCTAAGAGTAAAGAGAAAGAGAAGAGAGACTTCGGAGTCGTCTACGACGACTTTTACCGATGCGGCGCCGCCGACTATAATTAAACTTGTCGCATATCCTTTCGGGCACATCGTGGTCCGTTACGTCACAGAAGTGGAGCAATCTCTCGCTCTCTTCGAACACCACTTCGTCATGTGATCCACTCCACCGACAATGTTCCATAAAATTTCATTACCTTCCTCCGCGCGGCGGCGCAATTATCGTTCGTTAACATGCGACTTAACTTTTCTGTTTGAACAGGAGCGAACGGTTGCGCCGGACGGAATTGGCTCTGGCTTGGTAATCGCGGCGCAGCGATAATAATGACTACCGTGGCGGCCACTCTGTTCCTGATGATGACATCGCTGACGATGACGGTGCCCTCAATAACGAATGTACTGCCGAAGAGCAACGAGCCAACGGCAGTTAGCAGGTAGCTCGCTGGCAACCAGCACCACCAGTACCATCACCACCAAGATATCGCTGCTACTGTCTGATCCGATTACATCGTCCATGTAAAACCTAGTAGTCTAGGGCTTCCAGTTATGTATGTTACTATGTATAGAATAGATAGTCGAATAATGATCATTTTTATTCTCGAGGAGCCTGTAAAAATGGGAGAGAGAGAGAAAGAGAGAGAGAAAGAGGATCGGCGAGAAAAACGCATACGGATCGACGCGGGATTTTCGTGCGTGTGAACTCGTGTTGCACAGTTTACTTTTGAGAAACCTGTTGTCTTTTGATGTAAAATTGTTGATCGCGATATTACCCATATATTTAATAAAATTTGAAAAAACTACACGACAAACTGTAGAGCGATATCCGCGTATACCGAGAGATTAGAGACAGGTGTTAATAACTGTCGTTAAACGCAACGAGACGAAAAACACGTTAAACTGTTTGCGATCCGAAAGATCGGTTTCATCAAGTAATCGGGATTAAAGGATGACATACGAGAGAGTGGCAGATGTTTCAACGGCGAACAGAACGAAGAGGGAGAAAAAGAAAAAGAGAGAGACAGGAGAACTGAGGTGTGTGAAACTTTCGTTAAATATTTCTTCTTTTATTTGAATTCTCCGACAAAGCACGTGTCGGCTAACTATAAATGCGATATTTATTAGTGATCGGAGTGTTCATCGAGTGTCAAATATAGATTATACAGGGGTAATTATAATATAACCGATATACACATATAACTAACGTTAGCGCAGTAACGAGCGGCGTTCTCTGCTCAATATTCGCTCCTTTTACGATGTCTAACAGAAAACGCATCAAAATAGACACTGATTTGTAATCTGTACAAATTGTAATAAATTATAATACGGACTGTAAAAAAAAAACATGTTCTGTTTTTATTCACAAATCTCATTGCATGTGTTTTTGCAAACAGCAACATTGCTCTTCTCCGCCTCGTTAAAAACGGTAAATTTACACTCGTGGGGTAAGTATATTTTATCTATTTACATGTTCTCCAGTTGATTTTTATTACTGCAATATTCTCGTGTTTACTTGTTTATTTTACACCGTAGCAATTTTATTACGGCACATCCATATATACATATATATATATTTTTTTAATACTATATACAGAGATAGATAATTGAAAAATAAAACAAACTTGGAATAATTTCTTATATCTTCGTGCATTTTTATAGCTAAGCTCTAATTTAGAAGATGCTTTCACAAACTTCCGTGCCTTCAAAGCGAGTTAATATTGACTCATCCACTTAACGCTGGTACGTGCGCGTTTACACGAAGTATTCTCGGCCTCCGCCGAGCACTGGCAGCTTAGCATAAAAATAATTATCATCCGGCCACGTCGGTGCGTTTCTTACTCTGAGAACGATGTTTCCGCGTATTCCACTTTTGCGCGCGCGAGAATGTTTCAACTTTTACGACCGCTCATGTCAATTCCACGAGAATTCTAATTGGCCCAATCTCGGATTAGATCGAAGGTATTGAAAAAACATTAAAGCATTCTCATCAAAAGTACACAAAAACCTCTGTCGTATCCTCTGTCGCAAAATAGATCACTATTTTGAAGATTTTGTAAAGTAAAACCTATTTCATTGATGTTTAGTTAGAGTTAAAGAAAAAAATAAAAGTAATCGATTAAAAAAAAAAAATTTTTGTTGTTTCAACATCGCAAAATATTACTTGCGGACAATTTCAGCTTTAATTACAAATTTCTCTACTGTATAATTTTTAAAAAACTCGTTATACTCTTCTAAAAAACTAATATGCGAGACACAGCGAGTAAGTTGAAAAGTCGCACGGAAAACTAAATATAAAATCTTACGATCGAGAAGGAGACGGCAAAGAAGACGAAAAGAACGAGAAGGAGAGGAGTTGTGAAAATAGTCGGATTAGCTGCTCCGAAGGGATTGGCAAATTGCAGGGACCGGGGCTTATAAGCGTTTCCACTGGTAAATTAGGTCGCTCGTAATTTTGCCTCTTAGCGAAGGCCGGTATATCGTTCGTATATGACGGTCTTGTATTTGCGGGCGGGAGGAAAACGAAAACCCGTAATTGCGATCGCGCCGTGAAAATGGCATTAATCAAACACGCAGAGCGGGAAACGTGTAATGAGGCAGTCGTTCAGGGTCCACTTGGTTTTGTCACCGAAATTAAAAGTCGACTACATGCTGTGCAAGCTGCACGTGTCCGTCGCACTGCACGTGCGCTTTCACTCCTTAACGTCTCGCGTAACACATGGTCCGCGCGCAAAAGCCTTGACTCGAACTACTGACCGTGGCACTTGATAACTTATTACACGTCGCTTCACTCGCAATTAATTAATAAATTTATTACCAACAATAGTTAATTAATAATTTTGAAATATAATTTTATTGATAATATACAATTAATTAATTGGTTTTTATTCTATAATCGTTATTATTAATTAACACGCTGTGTGTGTAAAATATAAGTTTATTCATCGTATCGTATATCATAATTACTTATCGATTTAACAAGTAATTTAGCAAAGCTGTAAAAGTATTTCGGCAAGAAATAATTCTCGTGCCAAAATGTTATAATCTACATTGATAAACTGAATATAGAGAGTTTATTACACCCCCATTCTATCCCGATAATTGAAGAATTAATACCTCTCCGGGGTATTAAGGACAACCGCGAAGCAGGTCTTATCGCAAAGCCCTGGACATCTTATCCGGGGTGAAAGTTTATACCGAACTAAAACTATCTATTACTCTTCGAGTTCGTTGAATCGTGTTCCGCGAAGAGAAAGACAAAGAGGAGCAGAAGAAAGCTGCCGATCGCCATTCCGATACTTAATCCACTCGGCTACGATGCATCAAATTACTCTTAGGAGACTTTGAGAACTCGATTTACTGAGAACATCCCGTCGTTCTTCAAGCGATTTACCGTTATTTTTACAGTTTCAAGATAGTAATGTATTTACTTAGTTTATACGTTTCTCTCAATTTGCTGACAATGTTGAATATCTTTATCAAATTTTTTATTTTTTTTGTTTTTTGTAACACATCATTTTAACAATTGTTACAATAATTGTTAAAATTTGACAAAAAAGTCAATTATTACAGTAATTGTTAAAATAATTACACTCTTAAAATAATTAAAATTAACGGATAAACGTAAACGTTTCCGTGTAAATGTGCGAGGTATATTACATTGTCTGCATTCGTCTGCACGCAGATGCGTTTGTGTATTTAAAACAAACGCTGACGTCAATTTGCTCCGTAATGCCTCGTTCAACTACGCATGGCGAAAATCGAAAAGCACCGCGCCATCTCGTTAACGATTTCTACAATTCAAGCACGCTCCCGATAACTGGATACATCAAAATCCGTAACCAACCGACGAAAGCTACCGTTCGTTACATTCGCGCGTTAGTTATCTCCAAGCGACCGGTTTCGTCCAATTAAAGTCTCTTCTCCTAACAGGAACAACTAAAGAATATAAATCGCAGCATTTACGACGAAAAATCCCACGAACGTTGAAGAGTCCTAAAAAGATTGTCAACGCTCTAATTGCAGTATAATTGGAGCACTGGCCAATCCGTTTCGATACATCTCTCTCCAAAGTACAAAGTTGCAATTTGTTGCATCAAGAGATTATTTCAATTACTCATTTATTGTTTCGCAGGAAAGAGGGGAAGAGATAGAGAGAAACTTGCATGTGTGTCGCGATTCTGTATTTTACACCAAGCTCCCAGTTTCATCAACAACACAAGTTGAATTGCTAGTTTAAATCCCGATCTAACGCGAGTCTTAGGTCAGACTTGGTTAACATGAGTTTCTATCGGCAAAGTTTGGTCGAGACTAAAGAGATCCAGACCGCGCTTGAAACAAGGCGTTATGCGCTCTCGAATCGCGATGCAGCGTGCCTTGAAACAGCGAGGGGGAAGCCAGCCGAGATGAGTCGGCGTATCATTCGAGCGTGTAAGCAATAGAAACTAGAAACTTGATTTGTTTCCTTAGAGTGGCTTCGTATACATTTAGCGTATACTGTTAACAGATACAAATCATTATTAATATGTAACTCGAAATACATGCGCAAGTTTTCCAAAAATGCTTTAATTAACTTTTAATTAACTTATTAAATTTTTCTCCTTGCCCTAAAAAGAATCAATAAGACATCATCGATTTATTTCGGGCGGAATAAAAAACTTAATGAACGAGGAACAAAAGTGTTCGAGATCTAACTCGTAGGGACAAAGAAAAAAAAGTACGACGAAGGAGATTGTCGAAAAGAGCAAGTAGAAAAAAGTGCGATAAGGGAGGCACGAACACGCAAGACTGCCGACTTGGCACGCTAGAAGTGAGAGGATATGGGCCGTTTCCGTAAACCATCAAGAAATTGCATTAACATGGTTATCGCCGACAGCAAAGGCAAAGGTAGTAATTCCTTTAGGATTCGTGCGGCTTCTTCTTTGCTGCAAGAAAACTTGGGCAAGGAGAGAGAAAAAAAGAACGCGACCACAAGGAAAGTTGAGAAGTTAATAAGTCGTCTTCACTCGGAAGATTCACAACAAATATTTGTCTTCTCGCCATTTGCATTTTTTTTCTATCACTCTTCGTAAAATGCAGATGCAGGTTTCTCGAGAGATATTTAAATCGGATAATCACGCGGGTAAATAACATCTCAATTGTATTTCCGCACCAATTAGCTGTACATTTGCGTAAACAACTTTGTGTAAACAACTTTGTTTTTTACCAAATTGTTGGAAAAATTGAAGATAAGAATAGATAAATTATAATTTTAACTTTGAGTATAAAAATGTCAGTTTCCTCGAATGCATATCATTACATTAGTTTAGGCGAGAGGAAAAACGAAATTCCACGTTTATTTGAGAACGGTTAGTACTATCGACTTGCGAAGCAGTTAAAATGCAAACGCGTGCGATTTGCGATCGACGATAAGCTGTTCGGGCCAAAAAAAACAGTAACGGACAGAAAGAAATCGTGTGTGATTGCTCCTTTTTCCATCGGGAATTTATCTACATTTGCCTTTTGCAGTTCTCCGTGTTCCTTTTTTTTCCGGCTCAGACAAATTAATCGCTCTTTCGGTAATTTCCGCTTTGCGTATTCCGATTTTAGCGAAATAGAGCGAGAACAGAACGAACGGCGACTGACTCCGTTCGGGCAACAAAAAATTCGCGAATCGAATTAAAGCCAATTAGGTGGAAAAGTTTTTGTCCTCCCGTCTGATTCATGCGCGCGAGCATTCGAAATTCATTAATTAATTACGGAAAAGAGTGACCGCGACAATTGTAACCACTGCAAAAAGTTCTCGGACAAAAATGGATTCCGGCATACAAAAGTGCGACGAACTAAACCGACCTGATGAGCCTTGATGATACCAACCATTTGCACTTTTAATTAAACGTCGTGACAAAGCAATAAATTGGTGTAATAAATTGGCGCCGCCAGTTTCGGACAGTGGCCGACATAGGCGATATGAATTACTTCAACATTCAGTGTGATATAAAAAAGTGGATGCGATTAAATGAATTAAATATAATGACAAACATAATGCATATTTTGACAGATTAACTTCCTCATAAGTGGCTTCATGACATTTTCTATGTAAAATCTAATGATACGATAAAATAAAAAGCCAAAGAATTAAAATATAGAAGCACCTTCAGAAAATTAATTGTTTTGTTACAATACAATTACAAAAAAGTACAATTAAAAACAAACTAAATAATGATCACAATTTACATAATATAAGATATAAAAATATAACGACTTATAAAGTACTATTAATAATTAATTTTGAATTTTAATATCCATAGCCTCGCTAAATCCTAACAATATTTAAACTTTTATA